GTGGGCTACTCTTTTACCAACGAATAGTGAGATTGACCGGCACATTATAACGCCCCCCCCCCCAACCTGGCCATGCCGGGCCTAAGGTGAAAGGACAGTTATATAGTAATAGCCATCTGGGTCACAAAGTTCCTCTGAACCCAATAAGTCTCAGGTTTAAACTAGTTATAATCAATCTTAAGAAACTACACTACCAAATACAGTTTAAAACAATGAAAGTGGTGGTAAAGAAATTAATATATGCAAAACACCTCCGATTTAGACAAAAAATAGATTTATCACATCTGATTTCGACAAAAAATGATTGTTTTGTTACCTACGATAAAGACTAAAAATAGATTTATCATTCATGTCAGATTTCTACTAAAAATGTATTTAGACTAAAAAATATTATTGTACCATGTCTGATTTAGTTAATTTGTTTACTTTAGAGCAAAGCCAAATTTGGTTATCTGCTGTGTCAACCGCGGGGAATCGAATCCGGATTCTAGCGTTGTAATACCGTAGACATACTGCTGATTTAGACTAAGAAATACCTTTTTTACCATGCGTGATTTAGACTAAAAAATATTGTTTTATCACGTCTGATTTAGGCTAAAAAATATTGTTTTATCACGTCTGATTTAGGCTAAAAAATATTGTTTTAATACGTCTGATAAAAAATACTGTTTCACCTCATTGAAAACCATGAACAGAGCTAATGCTGAATAATATTTCCTAAGGCTGATGTACACGCTTTAGTATTTCAGTTATGATGACGTGTTGTTATTTTCCAGGTTCGTTTTATTATCCTTTTTCCTCGCCAATTTATAATATATTTTTTATATTCAACACATACTTGTTCCTATCTTTAATCTTTTTTTTTCAAATCGTATTATAGCTTACTATTAGTTGTTTATTTCTTTTATTTGTTCTTATCTTCTCAAAAACGTACCTTTCTACATCGTACTCAACAACTGATTCTCAATATCATGCAGTGAAATAGCAATATGTTTCTATTGATTATCGACAGTAAATCACTCTCAACAGTTGCGGTTATCTCCGTTAGTTGACAGACTAAATTTTATGGGCATGACCTCTTACACATAAACCAGCTTTTAAGAATGTGCCAGGTCTCTAACTGTTCTATTTTTTAAAGACATTCTTAAACTCTCGTCTCAAGATGTTGAAAAAATTTTATGATGAAAAGTCTTACACCAAGTTTAAACCAAAATCCTTTCAACATTTTAGTGACTTCGCTGCTTCTTCCACGTTCAGTACAGACCTGTCGTCTTGACATGAACCCCAATACACAACCCCCTCCCATTGGCTATCCATCTCTCTTCATCTCCTTCAAATCGTAGCAAATTCTCTCAGAATGATGGACTGGGCGTGACCTTAGCAGTTAGCGTGTCTGGACTGTGAATCTAAGGATTCCTGGTTTACATTCCGTTACCGCAAAAACTTGCTCCGTTCTTTGGAGTTGTGCGTAGGTGATAAGAGTGACGGTCAAATCTAATTTTTCGTCAAATAACTATCGCCTAATAGTTGGCGGTGTGAATGCTGTAGCCCTTTTCAGACTGATCTATTTGTGTTTTAAACCCTGCCACCTGGAATAATTAGTAGTCATCTCCTGTTACCAAGGAAATGAGAATACAAACTATCTATTTCAAGACAATGTGAAACAAGACCGTTCTGTTTACCAGTCTCTATTCATTTTAGGCACCGATATTTTCACTACCACAGTATTGACTTCTTGGTCTAAATAACCCTTGACTGATAATAACTTGACTCAAACTTCCGTCTCTTCTATCTATATTTAGACGTCTCATATTAATTTCCCGAATTATTGCAGGGCCTCCGAAGGACCTTAACTTTCATCACTTGCTCCTTTTGCAACTGAGGTCCTTTTCCAGATGTTTCCTGCAGTATTGCGTCAAACAGATTCATCAAGATACGTTCTTAGTCGTAAATCCTGATTGTTCTGTCTCAACCGTACTGACTGTAAATTTTCTGAACTCAATAATTTCCTTTCTCTTGACTATAATTCACACTTGATATTTACACCATCTGTGGCTGGTCGTTTTTCTACGAGCTCTGTTTTTTACAGTGGTCGTCGAGCCACTTAATACAGTCACTATTTTAATTACCTTTGTAACACAAGGCAAAGAAGGACACTACGTCCTTGAGCACCCTTAGTATTCAAACCTAAATAGCTATTAAGAAAAAGGAAAAAGAGAACCGTACAATTAATGGCAACCTTTTATGGCAAGTGTAGATTGAACAAGAATTTACAGTTTTTAAAATTTATCCATTTTGATTGCTGTGAAATAAAAAAAAAAAAATGTTAGCTTCCCATCTATCTTATCATTCGATCTTATCCGTCTAATGTTAGACTTAACAATTAATGACACTACGCTTGCACTAAACACTTAGTCATATGCGATTTGTTCAACTACACATACATCTTCTCATTCTACATCCTAAAAAACATTCGAAGGGGAACAAATATACACATAAGGTGTGATCTTTCTTACTTCCGTTTAGTCTATCTGCTCATCTAGAATTTGTTTAAACGGTGGTTTGTGGTTGGGAATAAGTTATTATCTAGTATCGTGAGGATGTCAATCATGTTCAGTCATTCCATACTTTCCTCCTGCATACCTACCTTTTTAATTCCATACTTTCCTCCTGCATACCTACCTTTTTAATTACATACTTTCCTCCTGCATACTTACCTTTTTAATTACATACTTTCCTCCTGCATACTTACCTTTTTAATTACGTACTTTCCTTCTGCATACTTACCTTTTTAATTACACACTTTCCTCCTGCATACTTACCTTTTTAATTACATACTTTCCTCCTGCATACTTACCTTTTTAATTACATACTTTCCTCCTGCATACATACCTTTTTAATTACGTACTTTCTTCCTGCATACTTACCTTTTTAATTACATACTTTCCTCCTGCATACATACCTTTTTAATTACGTACTTTCTTCCTGCATACTTACCTTTTTAATAACATACTTTCATTCTGCATACTTACCTTTTTAATTACATACTTTCCTCCTACATACCTACCTTTTTAATTACATACTTTCCTCCTGCCTACGAAAAGTTATCAGAGTATGTCGAAAAGAAAAATACATTCACGCAATGACTCTTATTGAAAATGAAATCCCAGCTTCGCCCATCTAAACTCTTCAAATAGAAAGCTTTAGAACAAAAATATTAGAGGTGGTCATTGACATTTTATCTTTAGTTAGTTACTTAGAAGAATTGTGAAGTTACAGAGTTACGAACGCCTACTACGTTCGTCAGAGAATGTTTTTGTTTCGTTTATAAAAAAGGAGAAATATTACTGATGTTTAACATCGCGATATTGGGATTATTTTACAAACCACGCGCTGTTAGTAACAACACAATCACCAAAAAATATATCCAAAACGCCTTTTATGGTTAACATATGAGCAGAATAATGATTCTAACTACGTTTATTAATGAACGAATTTCGTGTTCCTGTTTAATATCATCTTATACAGACGTAAAGCTATTTGCCACGTGCCCATTGCATTACTGTATATGTATTCAGAGGGTAAGGAACTCCAAACACTTATGAAATGTGAGAAGAAAAGAGTAAAACACCCCTAAACTGAATATAGTGTTGTTTTCGCTGAATAGTAAAATGTCAACATACATGCACTGTTCTCTCTATGGCACTTGGATAGGTGAAACGTGGGGCGTCGAACATTTATATTAAATATTGGATGGGTGAAACGTGAGGCGTCGAACATTTATATTAAATATTGGATGGGTGAAACATGAGGCGTCGAACATTTATATTAAATATTGGATGGGTGAAACTTGGGGCGTCGAACATTTATATTAAATATTGGTTGGGTGAAACTTGGGGGCGTCGAACATTTATATTAAATAAGCAGCCTGGCTATATAAAAAGAGCCCACTCTTTTCTTGTAAGTATCATTTCTTCTCTGTACAATATATTCCCAATTCTTGGTATGTGATTCCGAAAGTTTAATTTAAAACACTAATAAGTAGGATTATCTCATTTCTTTCCTGGTGACGTTACATCTGAAATACGCATAAAGCAAATTCTTAACATGCGTTAACATCAATGAGCCAAAACAAACGTGTTTATCGTCAACTTTTAAAAAAGTAAACTGTGCAAATGCATCAAAGATGTTTCTAGTGCACGTATTCGGAACACTTCACTAAAAGTTTCATATCAGCCGTCCCTACTTTAGCAATGAAAGACTAGAGGGAAGACAGCTACTCATCACCACCCACCGTTAATTGTTGGGCTACTCTTTTACCAACGAATAGTGGGATTGACCGTCGCATTATAACGCCCCACGGCTGAAAGGGCGAGCATGTTCGGTGGGACGGGGATTCGAACCCGCGACCATATTTTGGAAAAATTTGTTTGCTGAATTTTGCGCAAAGCTGTTAGAGGGCTATCCACACCAGCCGTTCCGTATTTTGAAATGCTAGAGTAAACGGAAGGCAGCGAGTCAACACCGCCCACCGTCAACTCTTGGACCACTCTTCACCAACGAAAAGTGTCATTCACCATCACATTATAACGCTCCCACAGCTGAAAGGTCGAGCAGTCAGTCAGTGACGGAATGTAAATGAACACATGGGTAGGTAAATATACAAAAGTACTGCAATGCATTGTCATAATTACACTTTTTAAAATATACGTCGCACATACAACATTGGCTATCCACAAAGCGAGTTTTTTTACATGTACGAAGTGCAAAGAACAGAATACGATTTTTCAAGTCCAGTCATCGGCAAATTTTTTGGTATAAATAAAATTTGTAATTAGGTTGTTTTTCAATGTAACAAGCTGCGTGGTCGACAAATCTGAGCTCATCTATAAACACGAGAAGTATTAGGTCGTCAAGAAATTAATGTCGCGTTTTGGAACACTTTCATTAACCCCCCTCAAAAAACAAAACAAAAAAAAACACGTACATCACGCATAATAGTTAAACGAACCGCCTAAACGTCACGTTAGTGTAGCCTGTATTATGTGTAAAGTTTAGTATACTCTAATCCCTTATAGTGATGCCACACGACGAGACACACATTAGGCATGTAATGCTGTTTGAATACAAGAAGGGAAACAACGCCTCTGTAGCGACACAAAGAATATCAAAGAAGTTTATGGAAATATTTTGAACGTTCGTAAGTGTCAACGATGGTTCAGTAAATTTCGTTCAGGTGACTTTAGCTTTGAAAAATGTGATGGCAGGGGCCGACATGCTGGAATTGATATTAATGCTCTGAAGACGCTTGTTGAGTCTAACCCAAGGCAACATTCGTGAAATGGCCCTG